TGTTTGATAGGCAGCGCCGCAATCCAGTGACGTGCAAGCGGATGCCAGATCCCATTCCGTCGTGTGACGACCACAGCTGGGTACAGCTAGCGTGTCGACGCTGTCCGCCGGGTTCAGCGGAACGGTACCGCGACCGAGCCTCCATTCCGATTGGCTGACGCCTGGCTGACGTTATAGGCCGACGTCAGACGTGCTTCCCGACGTCGCCGCGCGATTGGTGCAAGGTCGAGTGTTATTGCTCGTGAGCGTTTTGACGGTTTGAGACGCCGAGCTGCTCCTGTGTAATGATTTATCTTTGATGTTATGATTTCTTGCACTTGTAACTGCTGATACCAGTCCATAGTTGGTGTTAATTTATTATATCAATGACTGGTTCGACCATAATACATTCTATAACGGACATCACATTGTTTTCCATCTAATATCTCATTGCGACACTTTTGCAAACATCTCATGTGTGTAGCTGCTAATGCACGTACGGCAGTTGATATCATCGATGGCCGTAAACGCATATGCTCGCAAACGCTAATGTACGTGCAGAAGTTATCCATATCGCAGGCCGTACAGCAAACAACACCTTTCACACGTTGGTCTCCCTGAACAGCAATAATATCCGAGTGTATGTATGCCTAAATGGGCTACCCATGGTTGAGAACAGGGCACTTTTCACTCATTTTGGCATTCGCACGCCACCTACATGGGACATCTGCCTACCCAATGGCATGGGACTCGAACGCGTTGTTGATGGCTCCGCCTCAGGCTCTTTCGGACCGCGGCTGGTTTCATCACCCCCAAATACCGTCACATGCTGTTTTGACATGACATGTAAAGAAAACTCACCCAGCGCATGTTTCAAAATATGTGTGAAGACGATGAGCGACGTAAACATGCGTTCGGTTAGGGGTCAATTTGCCCCCACCACCCGGGGGCTTTACAGAATAATTTCGTAACGGTGATTGGCATAGTCGCGCCAGACTTTGCTTGCCTGTCAGCAACTGACTAGCCGATCTTTTCATATAAACATTAGACATGCCTCGAAAGGTCGCTGACCTACGGCAGGGCCAAGCCTGACCATTACTGTCAGCAAACGCATTCGCTAGGGAATCGTTTGATATGACACGATAACGGAGCGTTGGACGACGTTATGTAACTTGATGCAACAAGACGCATTAGATCTCCTCCCAGCGGGAAGAGATCTGAGAGCATTTCAGGCACTGATCTTCGGTTTGACCTTGTTTGACCTAGTTTTACCCGACAGCTAGGACCTAGTGACATCCTTAGGGAGAAGGGAGGATAGGGATAATAATTCATTCGTATCTGGCCAAATATTTGATAAACACGTGCAAAATTACTGCATTGTATTTGTTACAATCCCATAGCATGCAATAGTTTTGTGTTGCGTCATTCCATTTTCACCAAGGCTATGAGTGTGCTAACCGTGTACTGGAATTCATCCAAGTACATCCCCTAAGTGGCATCCTGCTGAAAATGGGTATAATGCCAGACAAAATCGCTGATAACCAGAGCTTCATCAAGCGCGATGGACGCCTTTGTTTGCGATGTCACGATGACGGTCGAGTTTTTTATTCTGCTCAACGTCACCACACAATCGTGGACATGTTTGGCCACCACCACACAATTTGCAGCAGCCTGTGGACACCAATGGCTGTACCAAGGAATGAGGAGGTATTTTGCGTAATTTCCTTGTGCAACAGCACGGAGGGCAAATCCAAATCCAATGGACGCAAGCTCCAAAAACACTTTGAGCCATATTTTGTGACCAGCTGGCCCGGCACTACAGATGTTGTGGTCCATTACCCTGATCTGTATTGCCCCACACGATAACTGCACTCGTGCAGCCTACCAGTCAACTGATCCAACGCAACTGCGTGCACTCAAGCTGCCCTGAGGCCTGCTAAAGCCGGTGCATGCGCACCCCACGAGGGTCTGACGCTGAACATGTAGTATACGATGGCGATAACGACGAGGGTCGAACGGAACCGGCGGCCGAGGGTCGTTGCCGGCGCTACATTGTCAAAGTGTAGGAGCAACATGACCTTGTTTCTTAACGCTCATATTAGTCAAGTATCTGTATATGTGCTACCACAACCAACACATATCAACGTTACGCGAAACCCTACGAATACCCTCGTGATTATATATATATATATATATATATATATATATATATATATATATATATATATATATATGGGTGCATCATGATACGCGTATTAAATAGAGATGATACTGTGCTTGATGAATTAAACGCGCCTGATAGCCCCTGATATCGATTTGTGAATAAATCTGAGTGATTATCAATACTTAAGAGCCGCGTTACAGTCACTTGACAAGCGTCCCAACCTCGGTATCGTCCGAGCGTCAAAATGAATGAAAAGGGTCATGTGTTGGGGTGCGTGAATGCTTCTTAGCACTCGTACCCACGAATGTCGCTTTTGTTTGGAAAATATGTCATACGAAAGGCAGGGGTATCACTTGCAGTCGGTTGTGGGGAGGCTGAACCGGTAAGGCTGGCGTAACCTATCCACAAAACCAGATTCCTCCCGGATTTCGGGCGCTCCAGTTTGCAGAAGGGTATATCAATATACCTTCACGCCTCATCACTATTCATGAACGCACCGATTTCCGAAAGCGTTAAAATAATGCCTTAGTACGTTTACTCACACGTGTCCATTTCAGCGGTGTACTTACCTGGAGTTCTTTTCTGGAGGACCAAAAAATGTTTGCACATCTGCACTAAAGACACGCCCTTTTAAGAGCTCATTATGGCGCACATCAAGTGACGAGCTATCGGCGGTACGGAAACGAAACCGTGCACATACTGTCGATATATTGACGACGTGTTCGTCAGTATATTCCCAGCGAGCAGCAGCTTCTCTGCCAATGTTCAATCCTTGAAGAAACCTCAGCTCTAAAATACACAGCAGAGCCATCGTTTGGCCACACAATTCCGTTTTTAGACGTAGCTGTTGATGCGTCATGCAGAAAATATGTAACTTCAACATTTCGAAAACTCACAGGAAATAAAAATTGCCTCAGTGGTCGTAGTGAGTGTCCAGATCAATATAACAAAGCGTGATCCGATCATACACACAACAGGCATTCAGACGCGGCATGACCGTTCATGACCGATAGTTCGACGGTATTAGACACATCCTGGTCAAGAACAACTAGTCTAACTTGTGTAACTGGCAAGAACTGACATTAAAAACCGTATTACCAAAACAATATGTCAGCTACATACAGGGATGAGGAAAAAGCTACTCGCGTTATGATGTCCATAAACTACTTCCCAGCAACATCACGCCGCTTCCCGCTTCGCGCAGACAACAGCAAGCTGACAACTTACAAAAAAGTCCTAGCATATGAAACCTTAGTATGCAGAGCAACATATCCACGAATGGCTCACCACTGAAAATGACCAACGTTATCTGCGGGTTCTAACGGCCCATTGACAATTGCGCGCGTCGACCACACTCGTATGTCGTATGTATGTACCACATATGTATGTCGGCCGTACCACGACCGTACTCAAGAGATGACGATGTACTTCCAGGACGGTGCGCCAAAGCGGTATGTGACACCAGGTCATGGAAGGACACTACTTTGGTCCGAATTGGTGGAAAATACCACTATACTGGCTAAGTGCAAACAAAAAGTGAAAGTGAATGTGCTGGAAGTGTCTTTCTTTTTGTCCGGAGAAAGAGCTGGCAATCAACCGGCAGACGGATATGCCGGGCACACTGTGAGTGTAGGATGGGCAGCCCTGGCACATAAGAGCGTATTTACCGTACTTAATCTCTACTCTGTTTATGCGACAGCGTGCTGCATTCGAGATCAGTTTCAAAAAAGAGCATCGCTGGCTTACCGATCGATTACTGGCGTCACCGACGGCCAGATAGTTTTGGGCTGCGAGGCCATCTGTAGACAGTGCATACACCTACTGCGTGGAGTTCGTAGCGTCACACAGACGGACTGCTGAGATCTGAGATCAATTCTGGCCCTAGCACCCCGAAATCTGGGGATTTAGCACGACCTTACGTGCACCACCGCACGCATTGACCCATATTGTCGTGGGTGTCATTTCCCGTTCTTTGCCAAGTCGAAAATGTGCTGATTTCGTATCGCTGTAACCCTTTGTTGTCAAACTAAAAACCTGATTTTCGCCGGCCATTTTGTCATTTTTGGAACTTTACAATCTTTGCGTTTACTGTGTAAAACGAACGCATTTGCGCGTCCCGCAGGCAGCAGATCCCGTTGAGCAGTGGCACATTTTACACGAGTGCATTTTGCTACCAGATCTGAGAGTTCAACGCACTTCGAAAACTACCAAAAAAAAACCTGAAATAATCACCACGAGCTTAGGGATATGTTGCACCGAAGGTGTCTTTTTGCAATTCATTGCCCAAATTATTTTGTTTTACGTGCTGCTTTGGAGAGCGCAAGAGCCATGTGAGAGCCTTCCATTATCCTAAAAAATAGTGAGTTTTTCAGTCCTCATGCTTTGTGGGGATGGGACGGGATGGCTTTCGGAGGAGGGATATGTCTTTATTGACTTTGGTTTCCACTTGCCCCTCCCACTGGTACCTGGCAGCGATAGTGGCCGAGACATGACGTGAAATATGCAATTTTGTGGCCTCTCTTATAGTGAACTATGTGGCTGACTCTAGCTCCTCTAACACTGGTTATCACTCAAGACTCCGGAGGCTCCAGATCTATGTTTCTGTGGTGTACCGTTGCGCCAAAGAGACAACATTGAACTGCGATCGGCAAAACAGCAATTTGCCGATCAATTCTCTTCAATGTGGTAGTGATGCTCACTTACCTTATTTATTTTTGCTCTGATATATTCATGTGGATAAAAAAAGGCGCTGAAAATGTTGACGAATGTACCAAGCAATCATATAAATATACATTTTGCTTCCTTCATTGGTGAATAGCAAGCAAAAACAGCAATACATCAGTAACGGTATCTGCTCACTACTATTGGTTTGGCAGTAGTCGGATCTGGCGTATTCTTCTGTTATTTTGCTCTCAGGAAGCTTGTATTTGATACAGCTGTGATTTATATGACTCGCGAGATGACTACAGCATACTATTAGCTCGTTTGACTGGGTATATTGCGGCCTGTTGCATGGTAATAGAAGATTTAAGTGCTGCGCCAGAATTGCCCCAGTGCGAATGGGTATGTATGCTTTAACTCAATGGCCGTACCTGTAGAAGGGAGAAACTTCGTAGAGTTCAGCCGTATGTTATTAGTTCCAGCACTTTCGACGTCCTGCCATTTCATTTAAGGGCTGGGTCTCAATGCAGGCCAATGGACCTTGTAATATGGCAAATATGTTCACTTATCATTGCCATGCATGCCAAGGTGTGCATAAAGGGCTATGTAGACTGGTCCCAAAAGCTGCCAAATATGTTGCCAAATGAGCAGAACATTTTCATTTTTGAAAAAGACTTAGCCCTTGTTAGCTCAGAATGGCTAAAATTTTCATTTTTGTGTTTTACACTGTCCTTAGACTGCTAAAATATTTGTTATGCCTGAGATACTTGCTGTAGCTGCAAATTTCTTTACACGTTTTGCAATGAATTTGTGCAGCTACCCTTAGATGCTCTATCTCCACAAATTGTTGTGCTTGGAGAGTCATTGTAGGTGTGATTAGGGATAAAGTAGTGGTAGCTTCAGGGTGCAACAATCTGAATAGTCCCCAAGAGGTGTTGTTTTAAGCTTAATTTTTAGGTAACATAAGCTTTACTTAGCCCTAAACCATGCCCAGTGCACAAATGTATGAGGTTAAGAATATCATTATCACTTGAGCACTTGGCAGGTTGGTCAGATTTGTTTCAGATTGACATTCTCCTGTGATGTTACATGCCATAAAAAGATTACCACTTAAAGAGGGTCTGTTGCCCTTTGGGTGTATTTCAAAAGCATACTGAGGTGAAATGTCAGGGTCAGATATTTTGGCAACACTTGTGGGTAGTGTCACCAGTGCACCAACAAGATAAAGTGGGCAGTCAAATTTAATTATTGTATGGTCCAAATTACAATCAGCATTTGCCAAAGAACTTCTTTATTCTTTGGAGCCCCAGGATGCAGCATTTGGCCATATCAGCTGATAAGGGCAGAATGTGCTGCCGGCCATGATCAGCTGTTCCAGGCCTAACATACCACTTGTTAGCTCTGTTAACCTGAACATTGTAGGCTTGCAAGCTGAAAAGTGGCATCTATACTGGTATAAATTACGTAATTTGAAACAAATATATGTTGATCAGTACAGTGGGTGGGGCCATTTGCAAGAAGCTCATCAGCAGAAGCCTGTACCAGTACCAGGTACTCTTTAGAACACATGATGCATCTGTTTTCATAAGCCAAAGTATACTTATAAAAGAATCATTGTGTTGAACACCTTAGGGAGAAATAAAGACTATTGTGTAATATTGTGTTGAATTTGTGTGATAAAGATGGTATATTCTAATGTTTTCTTCCTAGATAGAGAACTCCAAGCTGTTATGGTCATAATTGCAAACCATTGTGACATGTATATTGCAAGCATTGTGTAAGGCTATGGAATAGCCTTAACAATAGTTGTCATAGTAAGTGAAAATGCCATTGGACACATAACTATTACATTTATAGGTACAAGCATGTGTCCAATGGGTTTTCCCTTTGGAGTAGCCACTGCAGATCAAAATTCTGAGCTAGTATTTTGGAAAAACTGGTTGACTGATCAAGTGGGACACATTTGATAGGTGAAACAATACATAACACAACAATAAGGTAAATGCCAAAGAGGTGGCATCTGATTGAGTATCTAATCTTAGGATTGTGGAACATTGAAATGAAAGGTTTGACATGATTCACAACATCATCTCAGTTGGACATGGGGACGAAGGCTGGCTTCAAAACTGACAACAAAGCTGAGACAATGACATGAGCAGAGGTCAAAGCTGAAGGGGATGGCTTTGAAGTTGATAACTGTAAAGCTGAAGTTGTAGACAAAGACTTATAATATATATATATATATATATATATATATATATATATATATATATATATATATATATATATGGTTCATTTATATTTAAGGCTTATGACTTTGTACATGTTGATCCAAAGCCAAAGGTTTGAAACTCTGGTAATGTGAAGCTAAAGCCAAACCCACCTGCCAAAGTCACTAGGTTAAAGCCCAAACTGAATCTAGAGTACAGTGATGCTTTGCAGGCCTGAAACCATTTTTCAATCAGCTCAACTTAAGTGGCATGAGGAAATACAATGGTGCTGCAGAGTGGGCGAGACAAGTTGTAAGCTTATGTAACAGAAATTCTCAAGTAATGTTTGTGTGTTAGTGTGCTACCTGTGTGTACAACATTTCAGAAAGTTAGCTCTTATGAGGTGTTCTTCATCAGGTGTTGATTGCTCTTCAGAACAGCTGCTAGTTTTGGCTTTCAGCAATGTTTGTGTCGCTGCCTTGCATGGCTGTGTGGTATATTGGGGTAACAGGAAGGGAACTGGTTTTGTGAAATAGAGCCTGTAAATAGAGCCAACTGTAATGAACAGTCATGACAAAGCCTTAGCCAGCAGATTAAAATTGGGTGGAGCCAAAGCTGGAGCTATAGCTCAAAGCTTTTTTAAACTGAGGAAGCAATGGAAACAAACTGTTTAAGTGACAGGAAGCTGAAGGCAGGGCTGAAGCCAGATGTGAAAAACAGCTCAAATCTGGAGCCAAATCTAAAGTCTTTGAAGGAAAACTGCAGCTTCATGAAGCAGAAGCAGAATCTGGCTTGGTCCTTTGGTGCAATGACAGCACATTGCTATCTTGTTCCCCCTTGGTATGTTATGGGCCCAAAAATGACCTTTGTAATAAGTGTGCCCTGAAACATCAAAACACAACAAAAAACATTGTGATGCTTTTTTGGGTACTTAACTAAGTCATTCCCTCCCCTTTACATCTTTTTCCTGCAACCCCTTTCAAATTTGTTGAACACTTTTTAAAGCCCTTAACCACAACCCCTGTTGAATATAATCCTCGTCCATGCGTACTTATACTGATACAAACATACAACAAACTTCCTGCCAAGAATTTTCCCAGTCAGACTTTATTCTACATAAATGGTGAGAAATTCGTCGTTGCATTATTCTACATCGAAATTTACGTTATAATTTTTCTTCGGGACGTACGCTCTCCTGATATTTTCAAGCACACAGGACTTTATGGCATGGACAATTTATGTGCGAAGGGTTTTCTATGCATACTTTTGTCTGCAACCAGTGTAAAAGGCATGGCAAACGCGGCTGGTGCAGCTTTAGAGTTCACAGTTGTCCAAAATGATCGGGAGGGATTGCTGTATATGGTTCAGTCAACTACATTACACTGCTCTTACTGATTATATCCTGCAGATGGAAGTTGATGCTGGTTGGAGTATTATGGGCTGGGAGCGGGCGACACAAGGTTGTGTGGACCTGATTACCCTGTGCTGTGCCGCAATTGCCGTGAGATGGAATATCGCGATACTATGATGGTGCTAACACATTGTTTGGATGCTTCCAAGCATATATATGGGACACATTGCAACCAATATTGTTCAATGCAGTTCTGGTTTGCAATGCTTTTGCTAGTTTGCGTTGATCGGCATGTATCTAGGGGTGCTCAAACTCTTAAATGATATTGACTACATGCCAATTATTTTGTGTTCAGGTCCGTCCATCTGCCATAAATGCTGTTCTGTTCGCCATCGCTTCCTCTAAAAGCGCACGTCCGTCCCCATACGTCATCCGTGTCCTGGTCTCGGACCAGCCATCATCGCCTCCCCGCTGTGTCCGCGGCCGCGGCCGTGGCCCGGCCGGCGGTCGGCGGCTCTCGTCCGGACCGATGGCGCTGGCGGCCGGTGACGCGCGCCCGTGTGCGGACAGTGTGGCGCCGCGGGGGATGGTGATCAGCAGGGTGGAGCGCCGGCACGCTGGCGGCGGCAGCGGCAAGACGCTGTCGCCCCAGGAGCTGTCCGACTGCGACGACATCGCCACCGCGCTCACCGTCGACCCCTACCTGGGCTTCAACACGCACAAGATGTGCATCAGGTGCGCCGACTGTTGCCCGTACAGAAGATGGCCTGAGGTCGGACTGCAGCATATGCTATGTGTCCAGCTTTTCGCGAGGGCTCATTTGTATCCTGTGTAGAAAATGTCTGTAGGTGTTACATGTATATTGCAATGGGTGTATAGAAGCAGCAATCTCAATTGCTTATCCGATCATGTACTCGTCCACGATTTACCCCTGTGTCGCTCCAGTGCCCCGATGTTTCCTTCCTCGCAAACAGCACACATCCGACATGGTTGTTCGTACCTTTACCGTGTCGTCACGGTCACGCCCTCCCACTGTTAGCGCCACCGGGGCGCTGCGGCCGTGCGGTGCCCGCCGCGGTGGCCGCGCGGAACGAGGCCGTAACTCTCGGCGAGCCTTCCGTGACGGCCGGGCACGTGCGCAGGTACCGGCCGCCGCGCTGCAACAAGGACGTGCTGCGCAACATGATCTTCTCGTTCATCAAGGACCAGAACTACGAGGAGACGTACGAGCGGCTGGAGCGCTCCGAGGCCATGCACCAGCTGATGGCCTTCTATAAGCACCGGGTCAACCGGGACGACCTGCGGGACCACGTCAGTGGGGCTTCGGTGCCGACCACGGGGGGGCGCGGCTCATGCGGGTCGATGGTGCACTCGAGTTTATCCCGATCGCAGGAGACGGGAAAATCTAAAACAGGGACATGGTATCTTTATGGAATGGCCGCTGAGATTTTTACCAGGGCATATTTGTCAGGATGTAGAATCATTTTTGCGATGTTGTATGGGCTCTGTAAATGCTGTCGCGAATGCGAGTGAATAATCTAGTCAGCAGCCTGAAGTGCATTCATGCAGACGGTCCATTAAGCTCAGAGGCTTATCTGGACTTCTTTTATGGTCCCATCATAGGCTGGTATGTGCTAATGCCCCCTCACCGTATTTTTAACTGGTTATTTAGACGCTAAATTAGGTATATATTTAGCCGCCTTTATGGGATGTGTGGGTCATATTGCGTTCCTGCGATGGGGTCGCCCACCATTTATTGGCCGCCAGCTGAGGATTGTGTCTGTCGGCCGCGCTGCCCAGCCGTCTGACAGCGTGCTGACCGCCGTGCAGATAATGCGCTTTCTGGGCGTGCTGGACGTGGAGTCCGGGATCTCGATCATGGGCTGCAGCCGGTACTCGCTGGAGGATAACGCCGGCGCCCGGGTCTGCTCCACCAAGGCGTGGTGAGTCACGGTCGGCGCCGAGGCCGGCCGGAAGCGGGGGCGGCGCGAGCTCGCGTGATCGACTCGCGCACCTGGCCGGACAGGCGGCGCGACGCGGCGGCTGCCAGGCGCCAGACGTGATGTCGGCATTCAGGTCAAGGCACGATCTAGCTGGAGTACTTGCGGGATCCGTTGGTAGCGGCACCGCGTCGCGCACGCTGTCGCCGCGGGGTGCTAAGACGGCATCGCGTGCGGCTGACCAGGATCAAGGCCATCAGGAATTGTGGCCACTACTGTCCGTTGTTCCTCAAGTCTGAATCATTTGCTAAGTCTCACGCTAGGAGGGTTGCGTCATTGCGGTCAATTGCGACGGCATCGTTAGCTTGTTTTACGTGAATTATGCTTGCCGTAGCAATTTAGGTGCACATAACTAAGCGAACCTGCGGATAGCGTAGGAGCCAGCTTAGCTATGTTCACACTTGCGGCGAATGTGGCATCCACAGCCGACGATTTCCGCAGCGGCGCTCAGAAAATCAGCGGATAGGTGTTGGATTCAATATTTCTATGCAGCTTCGTAGGGCAATCGCAGTTTTTCGATCGGTTACGAAACGCGTCCCCGTCCCCTCTCACAATGGCGCCGTCCCCGCGTCACTCACAAGTCAAACTTATCAAAGGTTACTTAAGTTTGATGCACTTAAAGTGCGAAGGACTGGTCATATTCGTGTATGCTAAGTGTATTTGGTATTACCGACGTTCATTTATCACAATTTGTATTCGCCCGTTGTGTTGACGACCATTCCAGTAGATTGCTGTGCCATACTGTTATGATGCAGTATGATGCCTGGGGGACGTGTAGCTTGTCAGTATATCAAGTCAGGCGCATTTCTTACCAGGGGCCGGAACGAGGAAATCCAGTTTTTAGTGGGTTGCATTGCTGAACTTTCGGAGGAAGAAGAGAACCACTTTCTTCACCCGGGCAAGAACGATTTCTCAGTCATGTACAGCACGAGGAAGAAATGCGGCCAGCTTTGGCTCGGCCCGGCGGCCTACATCAACCACGACTGCAATGCCAACTGCACGGTAACGACGGGCGCTTTGCGAGATGCATGATTTATGACCAACCCCCCTAACTTGGAGTACCGTGACCGGCCTGCCACATTGCTGTCTATGTATAATTTGTCAGGAACGATCCCTTTTATCGCCAATGCGAGCCGGGCTGCTGTGCGCCGGTGACTTCGGAGTTGGCCAGGAACGCTCCCTCCAACCAGGTGCGGAGTGGGCCGGTCCGGAGACGCCCAGCTGCTAGGATGTTCTCGACGAGACACTCGCGGGGTCATGACCACGCGCGCTGACCATCGGAGCGGTCCTGCGCTGCATGTTGAACCTAGAGGTCAGGCCAGCTCCCACCCTCCCTCCCTTGCCGCGCCGTGACCCGAGCCGCGCGTCTCTGTCGGCAGTTCGTGGCCACTGGCAGGAACACGGCGACGGTGCGCACCCTGCGCGAGATCGAACCCGGCGACGAGGTTACCTGCAACTACGGCGGCGACTTCTTCGGCTGATAACAACTGTTACTGCGAATGCGAGACCTGCGAGAGGTGAGCTCTCTGGTGACGGCCCTACGCTGGCGTGAAGCGTGCTAGATTACGATGCGTAATGTCTTTCGATTATAACAGCAAAGGGAGGCAAACCGTGGTTCTTAAGGGCACCAGGCCCACATGATGATGATTTGGGCTTTGGGGCGCACCGACTACGTTGGTCATATGGCGCTCATAACCTGACACCACCGGGCCCACGCGTGGAGTCGTTGTGCATATGGTTTGGCCGGATGCCTGCATATTGGATGCTGTGACCCGCCGCGGCTGTGGTAAGTCAGCCGTGTCTGTGCGCGGCTCACTCCCTGCCGTGCATCCGCCAGGCGGCAGACGGGCGCGTTCGCCAAGAAGGACGCGGACCAGCAGTCGGAGGGCTACCAGCTGCGCTACTCGAGTCGACGGCAGGCGGCGCCGCCGGCCGCCGGCTCCCACAGCCTGGAGCAGACGGTCGAGACGCTACGGCAGCGCGGCATGACCCGCTACGATGCCCAGATTATCGCCGAGCAGCGGCTGCGGCTGGAGCCGGCACCGCCGCCGCCACCGCCGCCGCCGGCTCCCAGTGCCGCGCCGCGCGCCCGGACACGCACCCAGCGCCGGCTGTCGGCGGTGGCCGAGGCCCCGACAGCGGCGGCGGCGACGGCAGGTCGGCGCCGCGGCTCGCTGGCTCCGTCCGAACCACCGCTGCCGCCGCCACCGCCGCCGTCGCTGCCGCCGCCCGCGCTGCCGGCGCCGGCGCGCCGAGGCCGGGCCGCCGCCGCGGCGACTGCGGCCGCTGCCGCCGGCTCGTCTCCCTGCCACGTGAAGCTGACTCTGCGCATGAAACGCAGTCCGGCCGGCGACGACGTCAGCGAGTCGGCGAGCAGCCACTTCAGCGACGACAGCGCCACCAGCGGCGAGGTGCAGTACGAGGTGCTGCGCGTCGAGGGCGTCGGGGAGCTGCCCGCCGCCAGCTGGCACAAGAAGAAGAAAAAGCACAGCCGCGAGCGTCGCCGACGCGCGCAGCTGGAGGCGGTCGTGTCGGGACTGGGCGCCGAGCGGCCGCCGGGTGCCAAGCGACTGCGACTGAAGTTTGGCGGCGTGTCGCGGACCATCGACCTGACGGGGTGACGCCGCCGCCGCCGCTACCGCCACCACCGCCGCCGCCGCCGCCGCCGCCGCCGCCCGCCCCGTCTTTCACTGGCCGTGCGCGCGCCACGGCCCATTCCATAGGCCGAGTACAACGTTGTTATACCTCCAGTGGCCATGGCCGTCGTGCGCGGCCGCTGTTCAGGGCCCACCGACCGCCGTGGAGTATGTTTTATTGGAGCTATATTATCTGATCCCGGCACTGCCATGGTCAATTTTGTGCATGAGCAATCAACTATCCTTGCTGGCGATTCTTTTGTAGATGTTCCTCAGTCCGATGCCGCATTTACCTTGTGTGGAGTGGAATAGTAGGACTTTTTTGATCTCATTGTTCTGAGTACGCTAGTGACCTTTTTTACCGCCGATGAGTGAGCCTTTCTTTGGGCTGCGCTGTGTGGTAGCTCCCACGGAGATTCGTCCTGAATGACCTCGAGGTTGTAATAAATGTATGCATTTGCCTTTTGTCGACATACCCTCGGCTTTATTCAGTGTAGTTGCTGAACTTGTCGCTTTATGCCGCTTGGCAATAATTATCTCTAGCTCCAGCGCAGATCCGCGAGAGCGCATGCTAAAGGCATTGCGATTTCCCCCTATGGCTCAGGTATTTGGAGGGGTCGGGGGTGGGCCTTGCAACGAAGAACCTGTCCACGCCGCAACTTATCTTAGGGAGTGGCAAAGTTTTACGCGTAACGCACCTACATATGCAAAACAAAACTGGACATGACGATGACTAGTAGACATGACGCAATATGTGGGTGACATTTAATCATGACGGCATCCCCGTGACAAGTGGAGCTCGATGGCGGCGCACCGGCGTCCAACGCTGCAGACCCGGCTAAAAACGGGATCGCGAGGTAACAGCACACGCATGAATTGTGCTAGGCATTTTCTTGGCCACTTTCTACTCTCCCGCTAATTGCTCACTTGTTACCTGACTCACATGCCCCGGTGACGCGGCGTCACGTTCGCTTGGCATATTGGTTGAGGTGTGAAACGAGAACGAGTACGCCGCATGCAAGGGGCGCAGCCAGGGTTTTCTTAAGGGCAGGGCGGAGGGTCGGGGAGCACGTAACACGACGATTTCTGACTCCCTGTCAGGAGCCACGTATGGTGAGAAAGAAAAGGACGGGCCTGATGGGCGTTTCCCCTCTGGCTGCACCCCCGCTCCTTGTAACGAGAGGAAGTCATTGGATTCTTCGATATTTGAAATGTTTTAAAAGAATCGAGCCAGCTTTGTATCCATACCTGAGCGCAACGTTACTATGTCCAAACCACCCTCCTAAAGCTAGGCCTCGGTTACGCTCGCTCAAACTCTCCCTCCCCGCCCACCGGTAATGTAAGTCATGGACGACTCCTAGCCGTTAACCTTGACGGAAAAGTGCTTCATACGTCAAATATACCGTTGGGGATTTCCAACGTAAGGGTTATATCTGTTTAAGAACGAGCAAGATGTATCAGAAATTCAAAATTCTAATGTGATGAAATGTACGCGCTCTAAAAAAACGCACGGAAGCCAATGCAGATGAAATAAATCATAGCACCAAGTATACTGACGTCATTTGAATTTTTCCTTCCCGTTCTCTTCTCTTGGTGGCACCACACTTCCCATGCTTGATTCCGTCCCTCATTCAGTCAGTTCCGCTCCACGGCTGGGGTCGGGTGGGGCGGGGCCGCGGTGTTTTAGGGGGTGGAAGTTGGGCGCCGGATGGATATCTTTGCTTAAGGCGGACTGTCCACTTAATCACATTTCCAAAACTGGCATGCGGGTAGAGGGAATGGAGGTGGGTGTCGTGAATACAATGGGCACCCCCATCCGTCAAGGATATTTTCAAATAAATTCGGTTCGCCATAAGGTGTCGATGGGGCAAACTTACATTTCTTGGGAACCGGAAGGAACTCCAGATTGTAAGTATCCTATTCTTGTGTTCCGGTCTTGAACGGGCTTTCCTGTTAATGCTTGTTTATATAATGAGAATATGAGAATGGGAGACACGCTGCATAATCCTGTTGTGCTAAGCTGCCATTTAATATGCAAGCAACTTTTTTGTTTTGTGTCTTTTTTCCCAGCCAGTGTAAAAAAAGAGGTTTTTGGGAATGATACAATTTGAAAGTTAGTACTTGAACACCAATTGTGCCCAATATAGATGTGTGTATATGTGTACATGTGTAAAATATGTTATCATGCAGGCATTTTGACCCAGGTATTGGGATTTTCAAAACTAATTTTGAAATCGCCTTCTAAAAGGGGAATGAATATGTACCTAATGGTTTCAAATGCCTGGATCATATAACATTAAAGCTTTTATGGTGAGGTGAAGTGTATGACTAAGTTCAATGCAACAAAATCCAATACCAATAGCAATATCAGTCCAACCATTATCCAGCCAATGTTCAGCCCCTCCAAATTGGGCTCCAGCATTCCAAATTTGATAAGAAAGTGGGCTGAAGTTGTGGAAAAACCAGTTGGCATTTATTTAGCTGGGGTTATCAGATTTCTTCCTCTCAGCCCCCTGGTGTCCAACACATTTTGCAAAACTTTACCACTGGCAGATAACATAGTGTTCACATCTTTGGTGTGGGCAATGAGCAAACAGAATTTCTACTTTTTCCATAGACTGATTTAGGGTTAATGTTAAATGTTGCCTCAGGATAGAAGGGGGAGGGGAGGAGGATGAGGAGGAGAGAGAGGAGAAAACTTCTTCCTGTCACCTTAGTCTGCCATCCCTGGATATGGCTGTTGGCAGTCAGAAGAACCAGTGTGTCAGTAGCATACCCTAAAATAACCTATAGTGGTTGCAGGGCCATCTTCCAAGATTTGGTTTTCTAGCTAGCTGAGTAGCTAACTCTGCAGCTAGTTGATAAAGCTGACCAACTATGGGAAGGGAAGAGGGGCTGTTCAACAAGGCATCCCAAGCATTGAAACTGGGTTTGGGATGCTTATTTTGATTCTATTGATAACTTGGTAAAATTGCAAATTCCTATACACATTGCCGGAACCAAATACTATGGTTCAAACTAAGTGGTTTATTCATGCATTCTAACACATGTTTGTTAGACTTGACCAGTCAGGCAATCTTACAAAATGTGGCCTGCATGTTGACTGTGATCGGTATATTGACAAGGCTTCAAATGTAATCGATATACAGTTCTGATAGAAAGTTTCACTCTTAACCAAACTAGGTTAAAATGGATAACACTCAGCCTCTTGCTCTGCCTGGAAAGACTGAGAAATGTCCTAAGTTTTGCCAGACCTCGCAAAATATATGGGAATCTTTGACAATTGGCTTTTCTCTGGATATATCAGTGACAAATTTGATATTAAAGGGAATGCTCCACATTTGAAGCTCTTAAAGCATGCATCAGATATGATGAAATAAGTTCACTTATAACTATTGGTATACTTTTAAGTAAAGAAATAGGTTCACTTGTAATTATTGGTGTACTTTTAAGTGAAAAAAGCTATGGGATGCTTTTAATTAGTCTACCTGAAAAAGTCTGCACATCCTTGTGGGCATGTAGCTCAGAAACTAGAGATGTTTAGGTCTTAAGAAGGGCAGGGCTGTGTACTGCACCAAATAATCTTTAAGATGCCATTTCTGTTCAAGGCATCATGCAAATGTTGAACACTCTTTAAGGTACTGGAAACAAATAAGGCAATGCATGTTGTACTCCACCTCAAAATGAAAATGAATTTAAGGACCCAGCATGGGTCATTGCCATCAGGGCTTAGTTCCATAACAAGGAAAACAGGCCTAAGAATATTTTAATGGTGAGATATAGACATACAAGTCAGGGATGAACAATATTCAGTAAAAAGAACATCCTGAGGGCCCTATTGAACA